AGAGGGTATGAATTGTTGATAACATTAGCTGATTGTAGAAAAGCGTTTGGTAATTTAGCTATTAGCTGATAGCTGTTTGGTATAATTTCTTTTCTCAAAAAGCTAATTGAAAAAGTTGCTTGGAGTAGCTTTTTGAATTTTAGCCTTTTGGAGTTGCAAAATGCTAATTAACCAAACATTTATATTGATATTTTAACTAAATCAAACAATTAATAGTGGTCAAATAAGCCAAAATTGGCCTATAGGCCAATTTTTTACCAAACATGGCCATTATCGTTTCACAGAATGCCTGATCTCCGACTTCATGTTGTCATTTTGGAACTAAGATTTCTCTCTACTTTTTGTTTTTCATTAAATTATATCTTCTAATTCCATGTATTACTTTAATTATTTATTTTTGTACTCATTTTCAATTACCTTTCAAGGTTCAATTGCCAAATAACGAAAACTCAGAAGAAGAAAGCTAGTATTGAACGCTCTCCAAAAATAATTCTAAAAATATTTGAAGGTGGTGTTGAAGGCTCTAAGAAGAATGTAACTGTGGAATTTGTTAATTATGAGGTTTTTGGCTTGTCTTGTATGGGGCTTATGACTTGTTTACTTGTGGACATTTACTAGAAAAACTTTGTTCATTGGTACCATGAACCCCGGGTACTCGATAGCCACATTGTGATCGAGCTAATACCGAGTTTAGCTTATATAAAGACCATTTTGGGAGTTTAGCTTCTGTAAACACCATTTTGGGAGCTTTCTGATACCTGTTGTTTTATTCACATGGTTTGAATTCAAAATTAGGAAGAAAGCTTTAGAACAATAAAAGGCTGCTTGTGCTGATCAACAGGGGCGGAGCCAGGATTTAGGAATGCGGGGGGCCAATCAATGGAAACAAAAATTGGTTACTTTGGTAAAGACGCTCTTGGCCTGCTTTCCATAGAAGGAGAAGGCGCTATCACCCTGCTCGTGGAGATCGGAAGTTATCCTAATGTCCGCAAATTGGATACCTGATAACGACCCATTCACTACAACATTGGCGCAATATCTTCAATCAATCAAATGCACCATTCATTGCTTCAATCAAATCGCTTCAATCAATCAAATGCACCAGCCGGGAATTGAACCCGGGTCTATACCATGGCAGGGTACTATTCTACCACTAGACCACTGGTGCCTCTTGTTGTATGTTGCTCATATTTCAGGATATTAATTTACCTATTTTCCTTCACTTCCCAGCTGCGTGAATCATGGTCCACAATAAAATTTGCCTACTACATGGACCTATCTTGGCCAGAGCATTACAATTCTAGTGGTTATCGAAAATTATGCTGTGGAACCGATGGACACGGTTCCAAAACTATCATAATTATAAATATAAAATTTAAATATTATGAACATAGAGTTCAATAATTGTGAATATGAAGTTCAAAAATTATGAACATAGAGTTTTATAATTATGAACATAGAGTTCAGTAATTATGAATATAGAGTTCTGTAATTGTGAATGTAGAGTTCAATAATTGTGAATATGAATTTCAAAAATATGAACATAGAGTTTTATAATTATGAACATAGAGTTTTTTAATTATGAACATAGAGTTCTGTAATTGTGAATATAGAGTTCAATAATTATGAATATGAAGTTCAAAAATTATGAACATAGAGTTTAGTAATTATGAATATAGAACCGTGTCCACGTTGCAGGTTGGACACGGTTTGACGGGTATAACAATTTGTTATAAAGTGGACCATGATCGTCGAATGAAATTGAAGTTGAATTAAAATAAAGTTTTAATGTTACTATAATGAAACTAGTGGGTGTGAAAAATGAAACTAAAAAACAGAGCACATTATTTTCAAATGAAACTGTAGTATAATTAAAATGATATTTTAGTATTGCTATAATGAAACTAGTGTGCGTGGAAAATGAAACTAAAATCCAGAGCCATATAATAACATATATTGTCAAATGACCTGAAGTGCAATTAAAATAATACTTCAACATTATTATAATTAAACTAGTGTCTGTGGAAAATGAAACAAAAAATAGAGCTCAATCAATGATGTATATTATCAAATGAAACTATAGTAGAATTAAAATGATACTTTAATATTACTATAATGAAACTAGTGTGGAGGGAAAATGAATCTAAAAAACATAACAATATAGTTAAATGAAACTTAAGTGTAATTAAAATGATACATATTTTATGGTTCACACTGCTACATAGACCATGGTCCACAATAAAATTTGCATTACAATTCATGGACCAATCTAGCCCAACCTTTGAATAGTCGGTTGCTATATCATGCACCACGGTGCATGATCAATCATGCACCACGCGTCAGACACTACAGTGTGTCTAAACCGACACTGTCTCACGTATTATTTTTATATTATCAAATGAAACTACAGTTATATCAAAATGATACTGTAGTTGTGGTGAAATGAAACTACAGTATATATAAAATGAAATTGAATAACATTTCACATATTTGAGTGTGTATTGTACAATGAAGCTGTAATTATATTGAAATGATCATGTAGTTGTGTTTTAATGAAATTATAGTGTATATAAAATAAAATTAAATAACATTTTCACATATTTGAGTGTATAAATATTGAATGAAACTGTAATTATATCGAAATGAAACTGTAGTTGTGTTGAACTGAAACTGCAGTGTATACAAAATGAAACTAAAGAACAGAGTTATTTTTTGTGAAGATTCTGTTTCATTTCATTAAATAAAACGACATCGTTTTGACAATGTCGGTTTAGACACACTGTAGTGTCTGACGCGCGGTGCATGATATAATTTGCCTTGAATAGTCACAGACACATGCAGCCCATTTGCCATCTCCAGCAATAAGGAATGGAGTATTATCACCTATAGAGAAGAGAATCCAACCAAATGCCTTCTAAGTTCTAAAGGAATAAGGGTCAAATAGGCCATCACACGATAATGCAATTAGGCGATTGAACATAAAAAATCAACAATTAGGTCCCTAAACTAACCAATTTCAAACAATTCTTTCTATTTGAAGATTTCCAACAGGTCATCCTCCCAAATTAATTATTTTTAAAAAAAAATAAAAAAAAAAGGTCGTCTCCGACCGGAGTCATGCTTTTTTTTAAAAAAAAATTTTAAATAATTAATTTTTAAAATTTATTTTTTTAAAAAATAATTAATTTGGAAGTATGACATGTTGACCTGACCTATTGGAAACCTTCAAATTGAAAGAATTATTTGAAATTTGTTAGTTTAGAAACTCAATTATTGATTTTATAGGTTTAGTGGTCTAATTGAATTATCATGTGCAATTCGATAGACCTATTTGACCCTTATTCCAAGTTTCAAAGAAAAGTTAAGCACAACTCATCCCATCTCTCATCATCTCTGCTATGCTCTTTTCATTTCTTGATCAATAGCAGTGTTGCAAAAATTCCGCCTAGGCACCGTTTAATCGACACTTAGGCACTAGGTGCTGGGCGGCCGCTTAGCTTATCACCATAATCGATGGTCTAGGCGGCTGACCATCTAGGCCGCCTAAGTGCCGCTTAGGCCTCCTTAGGCACCGACTAGGTCGCCTAGTCGACCGATTAACTATTGTTTCATTCTTTTTTAAATGAGTTATTTCACTCAAAACGACATCGTTTTGAGAGAATAACCTAAATTGTTCAAACTCTAAATGTTTTTTAAGTTAATATTTAATATTTTAGTATTAACTATTAAAGTATTAAATAGTTTATAATTATCAAGTGTTAAAAAAATTTAAAAATTTTAAACAATTTTTTTAAAAGTAAAAAATAAAATAAAAATACACCGGCGCCAAGGCCCCGATTAATCCCCGCCTAAGTGTCATAGGCACTAGGTGCTCCCCGATGAGCGCTTGCGATTTTTTCAACCATATCAATAGTAATTGAGACTAAAAACTCTGAGATCTCTTTCTACCTAAACCCAGTTGATTAACTCTCTTCATCAAGGTATGTTTCATATTTTCTCCAATGAATTCCACCACCAATTTGCCCTCTGAATGCCTTTACTTTAACAAAGTTAGTAATACTAAAAAAGTAGCATTCATTTTGATATACTTTAATTTTTTAATATATATATATATATATATATATATATATATATATATATATATATATATATATATATACACATAAAGCCATTACTTTAGTATAATATTCATACCATTTTGTGTTCTGAATTAAAGCAGCTCTATGTGGCTATTACTCGGATAATGCAAAGGTTATGGATCTGTGAAAGTATAGAGGAGTTTTCAAAACCAATGTTTGATTATTGGATGCTCGCTAATCATAAAAATGCAAAGTTTTATAGTAATATATAGATGTACCTGAAAGATATTTACCTGAACTTATACCCTCATCTCTCATGGTGGCTTTCAGGAAGTTGTGGCAACTTCTGCACTCGAAGGCATAAAGATGTGCAATTTAAGCAATTATGGTACCAAAAAGGAGGAGTTATCAAACATAAGTGTATTCGGCGCTTGACTCCCTATTGGATTCTCGACTGGTGTTGTTAGATTGTTAAGAGGGGGCCACGCATCCATGGAAGCAAAATTAGGGGGCTTTAAACTCTATATAGAGAAATTTTAAGTAGTTTTATGCTCTGCAATTCTGAATTTCCATTCGTATTTCCCTTTTGTGATTCGACTGTTTTCTAATAGAATGAAAATTCATGAAATTATTAATTATGCGTTGTTTAGCTAACCATCTCTTCCATACCCATTTCACTTCATGCTCAAGCTCAATATTGAGATAAATAACTCTGATTTCAGTTTCAGAAACCCTTGGAGTTGTTCAATGGCTTTTGTTGTTGTAACCTCTCTACTAGAGATAGTTGAACAGCAGCTTATTAGGCAGCCCAATCCATCTCTGATTCTTTGTAACAAAGAAATGATTGTGATGTTGTCACAAAAGCTCCGGGTTTTGCAAGCCTTTCTGGTGGGATCTGGGAAGAAAACCAATATATGGCTCCCATGGTGAGGAAATGTTGGAAGCTGAGATCCGAGATGTCGCAGCTGAAGTAGAAGGGGAAATAGAATCTAAACTAGGTCAAGTTTATTTGGCAGCTAATAGGGGAGATGATGTAGTTGTGGGTTGTCAAGGTCTTCATCAGACCTTGCTACAAGTAGTAAGCGATTTTGAGGCGATTGAATCAAGGATTCTGACTCAAAATGCAAATGATGCTTCAACAAATGATTTCAAGGAAGAGAGATTCATGGTTGGGGGTATCTATGAAAATGATGTTGAAAGTGAGAATGAAATCATTGTAGGATTTGACGACGATGTAGAGGAGATAGTATACAGGCTCACTATTTTAAAACAATCTGGAAGAAGAGAAGTTATCGCACTTGTTGGGGAAGGTGGCATAGGAAAGACTACATTAGCTAAGATCATCTTTGAGCATCCATATGTTATTGATCATTTTCGCATCCGGGCATGGGTTGTTGTGTCTCGAGAGCATAATCTCAAAGAGATGCTCATCAGCTTATTGCATTGTATTGCGCCAATAACTAGTGAAATCTCTAACAAAGATGAAGCTCGACTAGCAGAGCAACTATGCAAAAGATTGACGGGTGAAAGGTATTTAATTGTCTTGGACGACGTGTGGACTACTACAGCTTGGCATGCTATCCAACAATGTTTTCCGCATAATGCTAATGGAAGCCGAATCATGATTACTACTCGAATCAATAATGTGGCGAGAGACATAAATTCGCATCTGCACATTATGAAGTACCAATCTCTGAAAAACAGCCGGGAACTACTTTCAAGGAAGGTGTTTAGGGGAAGATTTTATTGCCCCCCCACATATGAATACTTTAGGGATCGAATTCTTCTTCAATGTCGTGGATTACCACTAGCAATTCTCGTGATCAGTGGACTTCTGGCAACAGCCAAATGGTCATTAGATGTATGGAGAGAGGTTGCAGACACTGTGGATTTAATGGATGGGGATGACAAAATCATTTCGAGAATACTTTCATTGGGCTTCGAGTACTTGCCTAGTCACTTAAAGGCTTGCTTTCTTTATTTTGGAATTTTTCCTGAAGATGATGATGTTCCTGCTAAGAAAATAAATCAACTTATGGGTTGCAGAGGGAATTTTAAAATAAGAAAAGAATAAGAGTTTAGAAGAAGGGGCCGAGAATTGCTTGCTTGATCTTATTAACAGAAATCTAGTTCAAGTTGACAAACTAAGTATTGACGGGAGGATCAAGTCATGTAAGATTCATGACCGGTTACACGAGATTTGTGTAAGGGAAGTTAAAAAGGAGAATATTATATGTGTGATTGATGAAAAACATGATCCACAAGCTAGTCGTTGGATAAGTTGTCAATCAAGTCATTGGCCAAGCACTCGAGCATGCTATGAGACTCATAATTGCAATAAAATTCACTCCATTTTCTACTTTGGTAAATACTTCTACCCTTCAAAATGTAGGTTGGTATATCCATGTTTGAAACTTCTAAGAGTATTGGATTTATCTTCAATTAAATGCTTGCATGGCATGCCTAGTGAAATAGTGGATTTGATTCATTTGAAATACTTGGCTTTGAGCACTATAGGTTCTCTTTATAAGCTTCAACTATTGAAGCTTCAAAATTTGCAAACTCTCATTGTCTCTTCATGGATGGAAGATTATCCTTTGCAACTACAGTGTAATATTTTGGATTTGCCACAATTGAGGCATTTGCACCTTGAAAAAAGATGTTCACAATACCTCCCAAGCTTGGTTCGAGAAAATCTACAAACTCTTTATTGGTTGAAAGTTACTAGCTTGCACCGAAATCCAAACTTTAGAATGGTTCCGAACTTGGAGGAATTGGGGATCTACATTGAAGGTGAACTACTACCTGGTTGTGTTGAGAGCCTTGTCCATTTGCGTCTACTTGAGAAGTTAAAAATTGAAATAGGAAGGGTTGAACAATTTTATCTTCCTACTGCTTTTCCATCAAAGCTTAAGAAGTTGACACTTCATAGTACATATCTTCCTTGGCATGAGATGGGCATAATTGGTAAGTTGCGCAATCTTGAGGTACTCAAATTGAAAGATTTTGCGTTTTGTGGCCCAGAGTGGAATCCAATGGCGGGGGAGTTTCAAGAATTGAAGGTACTCCTTATTGCACATACAAATCTGAAACGATGGAATGCAAGTTTTCATCATTTCCCAGTTTTGGAGCGCCTAATCCTAAGATATTGTTGGGACTTGAAAATAGTTCCAATTGGTTTTGCAAAAATTAAAACAAAACTTATTGTGTTAGACAGTTGCTATTCTTCTATTGTGACTTCTGCAAACCAGATTTCTTCTGCAAACATATCGTTTTACAGAATGCCTGATCGCACACTTCATGTTCGTCATTTTGGAACTAAGGTTTCTCTCTACTTTTTTTTTTCCATTAAATTATATCTTCTAATTCCATGTATTGCTTTAATTATTTATTTTTGTACTCATTTTCAATTACCTTTCAAGGTTGAATTGCCAAACAATGAAAGCTCAGAAGAAGAAAGCTAGTATGGAAAGCTCTCCAAAAGCAATTCTAAAAATATTTGAAGGTGGTATTGAAGGCTCTAAGAAGAATGTAACTGTGGAATTTGTAAATTATGGGGTTTCTGGCTTGTCTTTTATGGGGTATATGACTTGTTTTCTTGTGCACCTTTACTAGAAAAACTTTGTTCATTGGTACCATGAACCCCGGGTACTCGATAGCCACATTGTGATCGAGCTAATACCGAGTTTAGCTTCTATAAAGACCATTTTGGGAGTTTGGCTTCTGTAAACACCATTTTGGGAGCTTTTCTGATACCTGTTGTTTTATTCACATGGTTTGAGTTCAAAATCAAGAAGAAAGCTTTAGAACAATAGAAGGCTGCTTGTGCTGATCAAACTTCTAACCATAGATTTTCCCACTTTCTCTAGTTGTATGTGTAACTTTCATTCTCTGTACCAACAACTGAGAAGTGCAGAATTTAGAATAATATGTTTTAGACTTTCACCAATTCTTTTTTTTTTTTCTTTGAAGGCAAAAGCAACAACTTCATTAGTAAAGATCCAATAACAAAACATTACAAATGAAAGGAGAGTTGGAAAATCACTTTGACCCTGTTTGCTAATTGTTAATATAATTAGCTTATTAATCAATTTTGGTTTATTTAATCACTATTAGCTATTTGACTTGGTTAAATAATTAATATAAATTTTTGATTAATTAGCTTTTTGTAACAGCTTATTGCTCTAAAATGCTAAAATTTAAATTTGATCAAATTTTTTAGAAAGTTATTTTGCACGTAGTCAACTATCAGCTAATAGCTAATTTACCAAACGCTTTAATTAATATTATCAAATAGTCAAATTCACTAATTCAATCAGTTAACAGTTATTTACCAAACACCCCTTTCTGTAACAAGTCATAGAAAAAAACTCTTGGGTTAATTCATGGACAATTTGAATCGCCAAACACTTAGGGGATGTTTGGTTCATGGAAAATGTTTTCCAAACAAGGAAAATGTTATTTTCTAGTGTTTGGTTCATGGAATTCATTTTCAATTGGAAAATGAATTCATCAAATTTGAGGAAAACAAAATCATTGGTTGGACCAAGGATTTTGTTTTCCATGGAAGATGGGAAGAAAAAGTGAATAGATTGCCTATTTTACCCTTACTTTCTTTTTAAATTATATTACTCTTATTAATTTATAGGGACATATAGGTCTTTATATTCATTATTCCTTACAATTCCAAATCTAACCAAACAATAGAATTATTATTCACAGTAATTCTTTTTCCACCAACCAAACAAAGAAATTCATCTTCCTAATAATTGTTTTTCCATGGAATTCCAATTCCACTTCCCTTAAAATATTTTCCGCGAACCAAACGAGCCCTTAGGGCATGTTTGGTTCATGGAAAATGTTTTCCTTAAATTTAAGGAAAACTGAATTTTCCTTTGTTTGGTTCATGGAAAACATTTTCCATGGTCCCCATTGGTATTTTGTTTTCCATGGAAAACAAGTAGGACAATTATGTTCTCACCAATTTTTCTTAATTACAATAATTATTATTGTTGATATTATTATGTAGGGATATAATTGTCTTTATACTTACTATTCCTTACAATTCTAAACTCAATCAAACAATGGAATCGATATTCCCAATAATTTATTTTTCACCAACCAAACAATGTAATTAATCTTCTCAATAATTTCTTTTTCATAAAATTTCAATTCCATTTCCCTTCAAATATTTTTCTGCGAACCAAACGAGCCTTAGTAAAATAAATAATTACATTAGAAAACTAATTAAGGATATCTTTGACATCAAGATAAAACAGTAAATACCCAAAATGATCCATCGACTATAGTTAAATTCACAAATTGGTCCTCGACTTTCAATTTTAACCAATTAAGTCCTTAACTTTGCAATTTTAACACAATTGGTCCTCCGTCTATTTGACAGTTTGTTGACCGTGATCTTTGAGGATATATATATATATATAATTTCACGATTCTGCATCATCGCCGGCGGCTGCGCCGTCATCGACAATCTCCAGAAGAACCTGCAACTCTCGTCGGAGCACATGGATGCCTCCAGGATGACGTTGCACCGTTTCGGAAACACGTCGTCTTCTTCGCTCTAGTACGAACTCAACTAGAGTGCGGTCTGAAAATGCAACCGGAACCTTAAAAAACTGACAATAGACCATGAAATTACATATAGAGTAAATACTCAAAATGGTCCCTCGACTATAGCTAAATTCACAAATTGGTCCTTGACTTTTAATTTCAATCAATTACGTCCTTAACTTTTCAATTTTAACACAATTTGGTCCTTTGTCTATTTGACTATTTGTTAACTGCGTTTTTTTAGGATATATATGTAATTTCATGGTCCATCGTCGGGTTTTTAAGGTTCCGGTTGCATTTCTAGACCGCACTGTTACATTTGAATCCACTGCCCGCGCTGCACCCATGCCGGAGAGATTATAGCTTTTGATAGATAGATCGCCGAAGTTCCTGGAGTGGGTCTTCGAGAAAGCCGTGACTCCAAGCGATGTAGGCAATCTGAACTGGCTCGAGATGCCCAAGCAGCAAGCGGAGAAGCACTTCCCCCCTTCGAAACGGCGCTGTCACCTCCAAAAGCGTTCTCTAAGCTGAACCGGCTCGTGATCCGCAAGCAGCAAGCGGAGAAGCACTTCTCCCTCCGAAACAACGATGTCACCTCCAAGAGCGTTCTCTTGAGCTTTGCACGTGAAACTACATATATATCTTCAAAGATCGCGGTCAACAAACGGTCAAATAGATAGAGGACCAAATCGTGTTAAAATTTCAAAGTTAAGGACTTAATTGGTTGAAATTGAAAGTCGAAGACCAATTTGTGAATTTAGCTATAGTCGAGGGATCATTTTTGGTATTTACTCCTACATATATATCCTCAAAAATCACAGTCGACAAACGGTCAAATAGACGGAGAATCAAATCGTGTTAAAATTGCAAAGTTAAGGACTTAATTGGTTAAAATTGAAAGTCGAAAACCAATTTATGAATTTAGTTATAGTCGAGGGACCATTTTGAGTATTTACTCAAGATAAAATTAGATGAAAACGAGAATTACCTTTTGTATGGAGAGCATCCGTTTCAACTTTCAACACGAACCTGGTCAAAGCAATGAGCTTTCAACCAACTTTCTAATGTAGAATGGAAATGGATATATCCAGCCAATACAAAGGTGCCACGTCGGTCAAGAATTGTCCATAGGGACTACTCAATAATTCTGGAAAACAAGTTGACTTCATCAATAGCTCAGCAGATCTCTGCTATACTCTTCTCATTTCTTGCTCAATAATTGAGACTAAAACCTCTGATCTTTGATATCACCCAAACTCGATTCACTACCTCTCTTCATCAAGGTATGTTTCATCTTTTCTCCAATATGCTGCCGCCATTGAATTTAGATAGTTTTATGCTGTGCATTTCTGAATTTCCATTAGTATTTTCGTTCTTTTATCTGTACTGTTTCCTAATTAGACTGCAAATTATTGTGTTGTTTAGCTAATTTCATGCTCAATATTGCGGCAAATGACTGTAATTTGAGTTCCAGAAACGGTTTGGGGCTATTCAATGGCTTTTGCAGTTGTAACCTCGCTACTAGAAATAGTAGACCAACGGCTTCAGCAGCCAAATCCATTTCTGATTCCTTACGATAAAGAAATTATTGTGTCATTGTCGCACAAGCTCCGCTTTTTGCAAGCATTTTTGGAAGAATCTGGGAAGAAAACCAAGGATCCTCGTGTTAAGGGAACGTTGGAAGCTAAGATCCGAGATGTAGCTGTTGAAGCAGAAGGGAAAATAGAATCTGAACTGAGAGAAATTTATTTGGCGGCTAATAGGGGAGATTGTGTAGATGAGGCTTGTCAAGGTCTTCATCAGACCTTGGAACAAATAGTTAAAGATATTGAGCGAGTTCAAACGGGGATTGAATGGAAAGTGAGTACTGATTCACATGTTGGTTCATCCCCAAATGATTTTAAGGAAGAGAATGCCATAGTTAGGGGTGCCTCCGAAAACGCTGTAGAGGCTGAGAATGAAATCATTGTAGGGTTCACTGAAGACATAGTGGAGTTAGTGGACAGGCTAAAGTCCAAGAAAGACGAAGTTATTTCACTCGTTGGGGAAGGCGGCATAGGAAAGACTACGTTAGCTAAAATAATCTTTGAGCATGAAAATATCATTGCTCATTTTGGCATTCGAGCATCGGTTGTTGTGTCTCAAGAACCTAATATCAAAGAGATGCTAATTGGTTTGTTGCGTTATATTGTGCCGATGACCAGTGAAATCTCCAACAAAGACGAAACTCAGCTTAGAGATGAACTGCACAAAAGATTGATGGAGCATAAGTATTTAATTGTGTTAGATGACGTATGGACTACTTCAGCTTGGCATGCCATTGAAGGATGTATTCCACCAAATAAGGATGATGGAAGTAAAATCATGATTACTACTCGGATCTATGAGGTGGCTAGATCTGTTAGTGAGCGTCCACACAATATGAAGTCCCAAACTCCAGATAAAAGCTGGGAATTATTTTCGAGGAAGGTGTTTAGGGAAGGATGTTTATGCACCCCCAAGCTTGAGAAACTTGGGCGTGAAATTGTAAATTGTTGCGGTGGATTACCGCTGGCAATTCTTGTGATTGCTGGACTTTTGTCTACAGTTAAAGGGTCACTGGAAATATGGACAGATGTATTAGAAGCTTTGAGTGGAATGGATGCAGATAACAGAATTTCAAAAATACTATCATTGGGCTTTGACTACTTGCCAAGTCACTTAAAAGCTTGTTTTCTTTATTTTGGAGTCTTTCCTGAAGATAGTGACATTCTTATTAAGAAAATAATAAACTTATGGGTTGCAGAGGGATTTTTAAAACCAGAGAAGAATAAGAGTTCAGAAGAAGGGGCAGAGAATTGCTTGCTTGATCTTATTAACAGAAATCTAGTTCAATTTAGCGAACTAAGTATTGACGGCAAGATCAAGTCGTGTAAGATTCATGATCGATTACATGAGATTTGTGTCAGAGAAGCTAAAAGGGAGAATATTATTTGTCTCCTTCATGAAAAACATGCTCCCAAAGATGTTCGTTGGGTAAGTTGTCAATCAAGTGGTTGGCCATTCACTCCAGAAAATTATAAGACTCACACTTCCAAGGAAATCCACTCCATTTTCTACTTTGGTAAAGAGTTATACCTTTCAAAATGTAGATTGGTATTCCCGGATTTGGTATTGCTAAGAGTATTGGATTTATCTTTAATTAAATGCTTGCATGGCATGCCTAATGGAATAGTGGATTTGATTCATTTAAGATACTTGGCTTTGAGCACTATAGGTTCTTTTTATAAGTTTCAATTGTTGAAGCTTAAAAATTTGCAAACTCTCATTGTTTCTTCATGGATGGAAGAGTACCCTTTGCAAGTGCAATATGATATTTTGGATTTGCCACAATTAAGGCACTTGCGCCTTCAAAAGAGATGTTCACAATATCTCCCAAGCGAGACTCGAAAAAATCTGCAAACTCTTTATTGGTTAAAAGTTACTAGCTCAGACCGAAATCCAAACTTTGGAATGGTTCCAAACTTGAAGGAACTTGGGATTTACATAGAAGGTGAACTAGTGTCTGGTTGCCTTGAGAACCTTGTCGATTTAGATCTGCTTGAGAAATTAAAATTTAGAATTGGAAGGGTTGAGCGGTTTTGTCTTCCTACCAGCTTTCCATCAAAGCTTAAGAAGTTGACACTCTGTAGTACATATCTTCCCTGGGATGAGATGGGCGTAATTGGTAAGTTATCTAACCTTGAGGTACTCAAATTGAAAGATTTTGCCTTTTGCGGCCCACAATGGGAACCAATAGAGGGGGAGTTTAAGAGATTAAAGGTGCTTCTTATTGCACGATCAGATCTTAAACGATGGGAACCAAATGTTCATCATTTCCCAATTTTGGAGCGTCTAATTCTAAGGTATTGTTGGGACTTGAAAGAAGTTCCTAATTGTTTTGCCAGAATTGGAACAATGAAATTAATTGTGTTAGACAGTTGTACTTCTTCTCTTGTGGGTTTTACAAAGAAGTGGTTAGAAGGGATGGCAGATTGTCCACTTCGTTTTCGTCAAGTTGGAATTAAGGTTTCTCTCTAACTCTTGTTCATTATTTCAAACTATTTAGTTTTCTGCCTTCTAATTCCATGTATTAATTCAGTTATTTATTTCTGTACTCATTTTCAATTACTTTTTAAGGTTGAATTGCCAGATAATGAAAGCTTTGAAGAAGTAACTGTAGAAAGCTCTGAAGAAGAAAGTGTGGAAAGCTCTAAAGAAGAAAGTGTGAAAAGCTCCAAAGAAGAAAGTCTGAAAAGCTCTAAAGAAGAAAGTGTGAAAAGCTCTAAAGAAGAAAGTGTGAAAAGCTCTAAAGAAGAAAGCGTGGGAAGCACAGGAAGCTCTGATCAAGAAAGGTTGAAAGCTCGGAGGAGTGTGAGGAAATATCTAAAGAAGAAGGTGTCGAAACCTCTGAATGCATTGAAAGAATTGAAGAGGAAAGTGTTGTAAGCTCTAAGAAGAAAGTGACTGAGGAATTTGTTAATTTTGGGCTTATTATAAACTTATGAAAGCGAAGGTATGTACTAAACTTGTAGTTAAACTCCATATTATCTTTTGCAATTGCATATTATTTTCTAGGTTTATTTGAAGAGTTCATTCCAACTTTAATTCATGAACTATTTCATTTGTACTTCCAATCATCAACCTCACCATCAATCAAAATTTGGTACCTGAGTTTTTAAGACTTGCCACTTTAGTCCTATAGTCAGGCACTAAATTTTGTTCTTGTTGGGCTAAAAGTGACAAGTTTTCAAAGTCGTTAGGTATTAAAATGTGGTCAATTTTTGAGGTTGATAACCACAAAAGTGGAAAATCCAATAGTCTTCTAGTCGAGGGACTAAAACGGGAATCCAATAGTTGAAATATGCATCATTTTTTGTAATTTTGTCCAAAGAGAATTAAGGAGGTTATTCTGATCTGTTGCAATTGAATTTGAACTTCATTTTATCTTTCATGCTGAATAAGTTCGTTCTCTGTTGCTTTCATGAGTTCATGCACTGGCTAATGTTGATCAGAATACCTCTCTTGTACAGTTCAATCCAGATTAGTGATTGGGAATTTGTGTAACCATATGGATATATTGAGCAAAGATGTTCACCATCCCGCTTTTGGGAGAAAACAAAGAGAAAGGATTTCTTGCTGCAATTCTTCAAGTGCAGGTCAGTGTTGCCTCAATATAAGATGTATTTTTTGTTTCCATTTGATCTGAAAAATTTCAGCTATGTGTTATGATGTTTTCCTGCTCCAATTGGCAATGGCGCTGTTCAATCCACTGTTCAATTAAGTATTCTTTTACAACATATTGAAATGCTCTTTGGTGCCATGAAAAAAAGAAGGAACAAATGTGCATGTACTTTGATCTCCGTGAGTTGTGAGCTTCACTATTATCTTTTTCCTATTATAAGGAACATGTGAGATAGGTTTTTTAATAAGTAATTGGTAAACTTCATCACCTGCCCTAAGCATGAGGATAACTTGTTTTTGTGAAAATTATACCTAATTATACCTAACAATTAAATCTAAAATTTTAATTGTGGCATGACCATTTTTTGGTCCTAGTATTATTGTGACATGATTATTTTTGGTCATCTATCAACAAAATATTTTTAGTGCCGTTAAATACAAAGTTATTTCGATCTTCATTTACGGATATTTTCAAAAAAATAAAGAGTAAAAGACATTTTTGGTCTTAGACTTATAGTGGTAAAGACAATTTTAGTCCTTTTTAAAAAAATCAGACAATTTGTGGACACTCTTATTGTGACGAGGACAATTTTGGTCCTCCGTCACTTATGTCGTTAGTTGACCCTCTAAATGAGGGGCATTTCTGTCAATTCAACTTAGTCTTTTGATCCTATGCTATAAACGACTCAGAAGGCGACATAAATGAAGTTGTTTGCTGGAAATCTCCAATCCAACCAAAATAATCCAGTTTCTCTTGCCTTCATCATGTGCCAGTTCGGAGTTTTCACATGCTGCCCTGCGGCCTCTCTTTGCTTCTCCTCCGGCACCGACACGAAGATATCAACCTTGCCAATCTTTTAGTAAGTGGCGATGATCACCATCTCAATATTCTCAGCAAGAAGGAAATGAGGTTTCTCTCGGATCTTATATATGAAAGAACGCCCTACAATATCCTGGTTTTTGGGCTCGAAAGCCAGTACTCAGGTCTCATTTCAATGCTGAATGTGGGTGGATTCACTCTCTTTCTTGAGGACAATGATGATAAGATGAAAATAGAAACGATGATGATCAGTATGAATAAAAGTCGAGTTCACAAGGTGGAGTATCACACACGTGCTGAAGATGCATATAAGCTTCTCAAAGATGCAAGGAAACACCCACAACTCTGCTCACCATTGGCTAGCTTTAGAAGTAATAGAAGTAGCAACAGAAGAAGAAGTGGAAGGTGCAAACTGGCAAACACATTGTTAGCAAGGCTTTCACAAGAGGTTTACAAGACAGATTGGGATGTGGTACATGGTGGTGGACGGACCTTCAGGACATCATGTGCCAGTCCGGAGTTTTCATCGCCTACTACCCTGCAGCATCTCTTTGCTTCTCCTCCGACATTGGCACAAAGATACCAACCCCGTTAGTATTCTTCGGCGAAACCGCAGAAGAACTCATCATAATCCTCGCTGCGGCTGAAGAAGGGTAAAAGCGAGACGATCACCCCTCCATATGAGTGGACCACAAACAGGCATGCCATGGTGCATAGCCGACATTACCTGGATTTCAAAAAGATCTACGAGATCAAGGGAGAGGTGCAGTGCAGGCGGTGCGAGAGCTAGTATGAAATGGGGTTCGATCTGATTACAAACTTCTTGGAGGTGGCCAAGTTCATATGGGAAAACAGAAGTGAAATGGCAGACCGTGCGCTGGAGGTTTGGATGAATCCGACCCTTCCGACCTGCCGCTACTGCAGGCAAGAGAACAGCGTGAAACCTGTGATTCCTTGGAGCAAGAAAGCCATAGGATCAAACAGCTTCATTTATGTCGGAAATCTGCAACAAATAGCTTCATTTATGTCACCTTCTGATTCGTTTATGGCATAGGATCAAAAGAATTAGTTGAATTGACATGACAGTATTGCCCCTCATTTAGACAGTCAACTAACGACGTAAGTGACGGAGGAACAAAATTGTCCTCGTCACAATAAGAGTGTCCACAAATTGTCTGATTTTTGTATGAAGGACCAAAATTGTCCATGCCACTATAAGTTTAGGACCAAAAATGTCTTTTACTCAAAAATAAACATAAAAATATAATGTGGTCAACTCACTTTGTATAAAAATGATCAAAATATCTTTTTATTTAACAATTTTATTAACGGATGACCAAAAATGGTCATGCAATAATAATACTAGGATCAAATGTCAATGTTCTGATAAAAAATGATTAAAAGTGGACTGCCATATATAAATTTAGAACCCAAAATGAAATTAACTCAAAATTATACATAAAAATTAACATTATCACACGCACACAAGATATATATATATATATATATATATATATATATATATATATATATATAAAAGGAGTTAAGGAAGAATAAATCTATAAGAAAATATACAATAACAACACTACAAATATAAAAGTACAAAAAAGTGTAACTATGTAAGTATAAATAATAGTTAACAATATATATATTTTTTGAATGCTACTGACTCTATTACATTATAGTATATGCTTTCTTAACCTAATGAAACACTCAGAGCTAACAACACTTTCACTGTAGCTTGATCTCATGACCTCCCCACACGGGAAAAGTTACTACATGATATCTTAGCACAAGGTGTTTGATATATATATATATATATATATAT